GGCTGTTTGTGGCCTCAATAAATCAACCGGAATTAAGTCATCAATAATGGAAAGACATAAAGCAGCCAGTCGAGCACTAGTTGGAAGCTGTTTGCGTTGCGTAACGAAAGTGGGGGAGGCTGGCTGAAAAATACTTGTGGGGGCCATAAAGAAATGCAAATTATTGTGGAATATGTGAGTTCAATATGTCTGCGAAACGGGGTCCTTTAATGTTCAACAGTTGTTGAACTAGTTTGCAACTCCATGCTATGGTTTCGTTTAAAAAGAGCGTTAAATTCTACTCATTCAATTCTACTTACCCTATAAGTTAGTATTTATTCGTCGAAGTAGCGTCTACAAAATATAACTGAATTTTTTCGCAATCCACAACTGGTTGCTTAGTCAGAATTTCAAATCGAAAACAATAAACATTGGCTAATTGCTTTAAACAAATTGAAGATCAATTTGTTGTATAACTTAACAAATTCTGGTTAGACAACCCGGATCGACAGAACACAGCAAATAATCAACGCGAAACAGCGAAATAAAAAGCCATAATAATTATTTATTAGACGGTTGGTGATAAATATGCAAATTAATAATTGCTGGTATCGGTGAATTTGTGTGAACTATAAAATCACAATTGTCTGGACTTTAAATGCTAATAGGGGGTTTTCCTTAACTACAACTGAGCGTTTGATTTCTCAAGTGACGTAGTCACTTCACTTCAACGATTTAACACATGACATCATGGCGAAAGGTTTAAACGTAGCATTTCGTTGCATCACCACGAAGAATATAAAACTGCAAACAATTAAAAATTGTTTCTATATCAACTTTATTGTTATTATCATGACTTGCGTGAGGCTTTCGGTTCAGCTGGCTTAATTAAAAAGTCATCCACATGAGCGACTTTGAGTTACAATTGACGTTTGGCATTTATCTCCGGCAGCTGACTTATTTTTCTTGGCCGCTCCATTGTGTGCAACTCAAAATCAAGATACTTTGCGCACGTTTCTCGGCCGCTTTTCTTGTCAATTTGGTCTCTCTCGGAAGACAAATTCATAAATATTTTAATTAAAATTGGAGCGAGTGCCGGGGCCAATGTTGTTCTAAGTTAAAAAGTTTTCATTGCAAACTCGCAAAACGGAAACGTTTTCTACAACGTCATCAGAAACGCATAACATTCCCGAAAAGGGGAAAACAGGAAGCGAACTTTTTGGCGCAAGTTCAGCGAAAGTTTCGCTGCAAAGAGAAATTTAACTAATTCCATTATGCATAAAAGTATAAAAAATATAAAAAGGCATTTGGAAAATGTTAAACAAAAATGTGAAAACTTTGCCCTTGTTGCTGAGCCACGCCAATAGGAATCTTCCTCAGCTCGGACAAGGCGAGGTGGAAATTTGCTTTCAAAACTTGCTTTAATTCCGCTCGAAAACTCACGTTTTGTTTATTTAAAAAGCGCACATAATTCGACGGATACTTGTTGAGAAATAAAATGTGCACTTATTAGGTAATAGTGGCTTGAGCTTAGGCCTATCTGTGTATTCAAAAAGATTGGCACCAATGGTTTAAAACGTTTTTTTACTAAACAACTTTTTTAAGCGATTTACAACCTAAAACGACTTATGGTCTTGAAAACGAGTTTTTAAGAAATTTTGGACATTTTCGAATTTATAAACTGTTTAGTTTTATAATTTAAAGCTATAGTAATTTTAACCGGGTAAAAAAAGATTTTAAGCAAATTGTATTATAGAAAAAATGTTCAAGTTCAAATTTTTTTTAAGTTCAAATAAATCCTACCTATTTATTTAGCTGTAATCTAAACTACTTACTCTTTTTTACATAACCTACACCAAGTGAGCACAATGTGGCTCTTCCTTTTAGCATATTCTGGCAAAAATCCTATTTATAACCAAAATGAAATCATTAAGCGGCTTTTACTGTCAACACAAATGGCACGCAAACATTTCAAAAGCAATTCACATTCAGGCATAGGAAATAATAAAAATAAAGAAGCGGGTCGCATAGGCGGAAAAAAGGAAAAGGAAGGCGACCGACCCACCGAAAGCTGCCGTGCAATTGAGTTGAAAGACAAACAAGGGAACATTCTGCGGAAAAGGGAAATCGAAGGCGAGCTCCTCTGAAAAGCTGTTGCCACAATAAACGACACGATTCATTCACTCACTTACCCAGCCAGTCAGTTCGTCAATTACATTGAATTCTCGGGTGCGGTTGTGTCTGTGCGAGAATTTCCACCTGCCGGAAAAGTTCAGCGGAAACGGGAGTGAAAAGTCGAGGAAAAGCCAGCCGTCACCATTGTCACCCTCGGCGCATTTTGATTTGTCTATCTGCCGTTTAATATTACAAAGTGTCTTTTGGTTCGATCCCCCTTCATAATATTTTCGACAATTTCCTTCGACAACAACGGCAAGTGATTGACTTTTGTTTGCCATCATTTTCATTACTATTTTCATTTTTTCACGTTTTTCCCGTTGTCTGGTCTGTTTTTGTTTTGCCGCAAACTTGTTTACCTCGATGTTATTTACTCGGCGTAATGATTTTTCTATCAAGCGCTTTGCATCGAAATCGCTGTCGATTTGGCCCATTGTTGGCGCTACGATTCACCTTTGTGCCGATTCAACGAGTGCCAAAAATGTCAATTGATGCGTGCCAAGTTCGCTCCACTCGCCCTGTTTATGGCTCGTGTTTTACGAGGCGTAAAAAATGTCATTAGAGCAGATAAATACGTGTAATTTTTGCAGAGTTTTATGGGTGGGAATGTGAGTTGATGATGTATTCCCCATGCATGCAAATTTTGAAACTGTGTCTATGGGGAATAAATTTGAGCGGGGTCCTGTTATCTCTGATATGAAACCAGAAAATAAATAAAATATTTAAATGTGTTTCAGAACTATTTTACACATACTCATCCTCTTATAATGTCTTTAGTTTATTTTAAGTCAGTATATATTAATAAACACAATGCTAGATTTTAATACAATTAGTAAGAAAACGTTAAGATGGTTTTGGCTGAGTGAACTACTCTGGAGCCTAGGGAGGATCCCAAAATTAATACAGAGATTTAGAAGGTAAATTGTATTAGAAAGTATTTACACCCAGAGAAAAGGGGCATAGTAGAAGTCTCTGCTTTGATGTGGCCTAGCCTTGGAATGATTTAAATATGTCAAGTCTGATAAAAAATAAAACAATTTGCTTATAATTCTCAAACCAACTTTTTGAAAATGGAAATTTCCAGAAATTTCCATTTATTTTACCACTCCCTTAGATGGCTTGTGTTAATTTGTTATTTCGAAAGGGAAGGACTTTTTCGATTTGAATATGACAACATCTCCCCATTTTCCGTTAGTCTGCTCGCCGTTTCATAAATTCGCAGAAAGCTTTTTTAAATTTCTCTGTTCAGATTCCATAGCATGGCCTCGCATCGCTGGCTGTTGTAACCGCAGCCAAATTAATTTCCAACTCTCTGGGTTCACTTTGACTGCCGCGTGGGCGTGACAAATGCAGCCAGAGTAAATTGCATAATTGCAGCTTTATTAAATTTAATAAAAATTCATACATATGCCATTGCCGACATCGCGGGACACGCCCTCCGCAGACGAAAAGAGGCGTAGGGGTAGTCCGAGGATGAGGATCTGGCACCCTTTTGGGTTTCCGTTAATCGACTGCACTTCGGCATCCCGTTGACTGCACACAGATGCCGCTGCTTTTAATTCTGGAACACACGATTCTCGATTCAGAATCCAGGATCCAGGACCAATGGCCAGTGCATGTCCTTTGTTGCCAGACGCATTCACTGGCCCACACCTTATGGACACCCACACCCACCACCTCCTGCAGCCTTGTGGTTATTTTTTCCGTTCGCCTTTTTGTATACCATTTAATTTAACGTTTGCTTCTGGCTCACTTCTGTTTCTTTGGCCTTTTATTTCTTTTATTCAGCCCGCTTTTTTTTTGTGCACCCTTCCACTTTTCGAGCGTAATTTTAATAAAGTTCGTCGGGATTTTTTGTTTTTCGGGTAGTCAATTGTTATCTCCCAGCGATAAGTAAATAAACGTGGACAACGTGGGAGCGGTCTGTTGCCGAGTTCCAATTGCAACTGGATTGCTGAGTGTCTCGGTATTCACATTTTCCTTTTTTTCCAGTTTTTTCTCCCTTTTGCGAATATGAATATTACTGAGTGATAAGGCCATGGCACTGCAATTAATTGTGATCGTTTCCATACGGACTGCACTTCGGATGCGGATGTGTGTGGGTATGGATGCGGGTGCAACTGCGCTGGCATAGTTCAATCTATTTTATTTAAGCTTTCCGTTAATCTTTATTTAATTGCGAAGTGCATTGCTTGGCATTTCCCAGATTGTGCAGAATGAGAGAAAATAAAACAATTTACAATTGTAAAGCTTGAATGGAATAATTTTATTATAAACAGCTTGATATGCCATTTCAAGAAGTAATGCTTAAAATTTACTTTTGTTTATATGAAACAAAAAAACAAAATCACTATCCTCTGCAAGGGTATAAAAATCGCCAAAAACCCCAAAAACAACATAACAAACTTGGTTTTTGTGTCAAAACCCTGGGAAATAATGGTCAAAATGTGGAATGTCATACACCGTTGAATTCGTAATAAAATTTCCAATCGAATGACATTCACAGTTAATTTTTTCAGATTTTCAAATTTCTGCAAATAATGATGATGTACCCCCTTACAAAAAAGTAAGAAATTTGGACAAAAAAATTTTATTTGTAAAAGGTGTAAAAGTCAAACTTTTAAGACTTAGATCACGAATTCCTTAAAGCTTTGACGTGATTTAAGGTATTCGGTTTCGGAAAGTAGTCCCCAAATAAAGAAGGCAACGGATAAAATAAAATTTATTTTATATTTTGTCTACCTGTTTTATTAGATATAAATTAAGCTTAGAAACCACTTATAACTTTTGGGTTCCCCATGCCAAATTATTCCATTTTAAAGCAGTCATTCAAGTGTAAAGATTATCTGTGGAACTGGGCAATTAGTGTATCCATGGCAGACTGACCACGACTTCCAACTTAGTTAGCGGAGCAAAATGAGTGCGCTTAGCTGGACCGTCGCCATCAAGGTATTGCTCGTCGTGTGTGCAATTGGCAAAAGTACCACCTCCTCCCCATCAGAATCGCGATATAAATGGACGACGGTTAGTGAAAGCCTCTCCTCATTTTACGTCAAAACACTTAAGTTTAGTATACAAAGTGTGATCAATCATAAGATATTAATAATAGATAAAATTTTTTGAAGTCTTTCTTTAACTTGTTACATCTTAACCGAATATAATAATATATTTTACTCTACAAGTAACGATTTAGATCTTTTTCGCAATAAAAGTTTTACCACCTTCCAAAAATACATATAATTTAAAAATTTTTTATTGCTTACTTTTCCTTTGAGGGAAAGGAAAGCTTATAATTTTGGAGATGTTCTTATTCCGAACAGATATGATTATAAACACAAACTCACTAAATTATTTAAATCAAATATTTGTATTTGGAATCCAAAGTATTAATTTTTTCCCCGTGTATTTCATGCATCGCACACAGCTGGACTGGCTGGAGGCCCAGAATGTCAGCCACGAATTGCACAATGTGACCACGGAGGATGGCTATCAGCTGCAGGTGCAACGCCTACCACGACTGGGAGCTAAGCCCGTGCTCCTGGTCCACGGACTGCTCGGTTCCTCTCTGGGATGGGTCTGCCTGGGGCCAGAACGAAGTTTGGGTAAGCGAATTTGCACTTTTGGGCATGCACTTAAATAAAAATCAGTAACATTAAGTTTGAAAAAAATAAATAAAAATGGAGTCTAAGTTTGGAAACTTTTTTAATAAATAACAAGTGTTTCGCATTTTAATAGAGCAGATATGGGAGAGAAATTTCGTGTCAAAAATAATGGAAAATAAAAAACAAAACTAGACCGAAAAAAATATATAAATTTATTAGTAAGTGTAACAACAACAACATTTAAAATAATTCGTAATATTTGTTTACTCTTGGCTTAGGCAATGCATCAATAACATATTTTAATATATTAAATTAGCATTATAAAAATCAAAAATAAAGTTTTAATTTTATTTTGCTCAAAAGAATAAATCTATTACTTTTTATGTACATAATTCAATATTGATTTTTTTGAGTGCAGCCTTTCAGCTGTACCATCGCGAGTACGACGTGTGGCTGGCGAATCTGCGCGGAGTGTCGCCCTACGGACGCAGGCACATCGACTTGACCGACGTGATGGCTGAGTTCTGGCGCTTCAGCTTCCACGAGCACGGCGCCTACGATTTGCCGGCCATAATTGACCACATGGCGGAGGTCACAGGCGGCGAGCAGCAGGCCCGCGGAGGAGGAGGAGAGACTGGAGGTCAAGGGTCGGATGAGGAGGAGAAAGTGCCGCGCCAGGTGCTGCTAATTGGACACTCGCAGGTGAGCGGTGAGGTGAGGGTCAGGTAGCTAACTCCCCCTAAACACTTCCCTTAGGCCTTCAACGCGTTCCTGGTGCTCTGCGCACTGCATCCCCGCTTCAACCAGCGCATTCAGCTGATGCAGGCCATGGCGCCCCTGGCTCGACTGCATCGCCAGGTGCGCTTCGACTCCTTCCAGGTGCGCCACCTCATGAAGTTTGTCAAGGTAATTACAGAAATACATTCATAGTTGTAGTTCAAATTATTTAATAAGCAGGAGCACAGCCACAAAACCAAAAAACCATTTCTAAAGGTTTCGCCGCATCGTTAAATTTAGGAAATTGTTATTTTAAATTATGAGGCCCAAAATATTTCAGCTATCTAGTGCTTTTTTTACTGGGACGTACTCTAAATAAGCACTATGTTATACAAAACCTTGTATAACCTTGAACCTTGGTCCAAATCTTTGCAGTTTGTCTTCAAAAAAAAAAATATCCGAATATTCACAATTTTTTTAATGTTAACCAAAGAATACATCTTATGTAAAAACCATTTAAATATTCCTTAAAGTGCACTGTATGCTTTAATTTCGACTCGAAAAGTATTCATGGTGATATTTTATTTCAATTTTTATTGCAGTAAAACAAGGCTTTTTTGTTGTTCTTCTCTATGTTTTCTGCAATTTTATCAAAAGTCAGAAACATCCAAGTCAAGGAATTTGAAAAAGAGTTGTTTATTAAGTTGTATTATATGATAGGAATCAGCCCTGGTTTTGCATATAAATAACTGCTTATAAAATGTAGGTATATCTCAGCTCATTTATTGCTTTGGCTTGATATAGTAGTTGGCTTTTACAAAAGGCATCTTGCTGATCTCGGCCTCATAGAACTTGTCGCGGACCTTTAACTCCACCTTTGTGCCGATGGCCTTCAGATTCTCCGTCACATAGCCCATGGCGATGTTGCGATTGGCACTGGGACTGGGACCGCCACTGGTCACCTGACCCACCTGCTGACCTTGGCTGAAGATGGCCACTCCGGAACGTGCTGGCGGCGGCTTGGCGCCCAACATCTGGAGACCCACTCGCCTCCGACTGACCCCCTCCTTCAGCTGGCCGAGAATCACTTCAGCCCCCGGGAAATCGCGGGTGGTGCGTCGTCTTTTGGACACCAGCCAGGTGAGAGCCGCCTCCACGGGCGTGGTTTCGGCATCGATGTCACTGCCGTACAGACAAAGTCCAGCCTCCAATCGCAGGGAATCCCTGGCTCCCAGGCCAGCGAGCTTGAGGATGCCACCCTGAAGAAGAGATTCGGTTAGGTTCTGGGCTTGGCTGGACTCCACGGATATCTCCACGCCATCCTCGCCAGTGTAGCCACATCTCGTGATCCTGACGTCGGGGATCCCAGACAGGCTGGTCACAAAGGATCTCATGAAGTAGAGCTTCTCCAGCGCAGCATTCTTTGGCAGCAGTTTGGATAGTTCGGCTGCCACCTGGGGCCCCTGAACCGCCACCAAAGACTGATCGGTGGGGGTGAGGAACTCGATGGCCACGTCCTTTCCCTGTGCCTTGAAGTTACTCTAGGAAAACCGATTTAGTTTAGTGATGGAACCCCCCTTTGAAGTAAACACGACTCACCACAGCAGCGCTCATTATGCCCATGTCCTGTTGCTTCATTGCCGCATTGGAGACCACGTAGAGCTCCTTCTCGCTGACTTTGTTCACAATGAGGTCGTCCAGGATGCCACCCGCTTCGTTGGTGAACACGGTGAGGCCGCCACTGCCATCCGGAGTGCCCAGGATGTCCGCCGTGCAGACGGACTCCAGACAGGCGGCTCCATCTTTCCCAAATATCCGGGTCTGCAGCATGTGCGACACGTCGAAAATGGAGCCCACCTGGCGGGTGTACAGGTGCGAGGCGATTATGCTCTGGTCGGAGTATTGAACCGGCAAGGCGTAGCCCCCGAAATTCACGATTTTCCCGCCCTTTCGGACGTGGAAATCGTAGAGGGCGGTGCGCTGACCCTCGCCGGCGGAGGCGGAGGAGGCGTGGCGTAGACCGCCGAGGGCGGCAGGCAGGCGGTTGCTTAGTCTGAACATCGCGCGTTGACTGAAGCGCGAAAAGTGACCGCTGCCAAGATCGGCTCTAGATGGTACACTAAAATTAAATATCAGTGCGAGATGGTTAACTCATAAAAAGTCATTATTTCCAATCACTATAACCTATATTGGCTGGTTTTTTAATCACTATTCTTAAGTTTTTTTTTAAAGAAAATTTTAATGAAATATAATAATTTAATTTTTACGAATAGCACATTTATATTTTTTTATACTGTTTGTCATACCCCACTGATTATAGTTAGGAATATAAAAAATCGATGTTTAACGACATTTAAAGTAGTATTGTAATTTCAGTAACGGTGTGATTTAAACGACGACTTACGACTTTTAATTGTGTATTTCTAAGAGCTCAGAAATGACGTTTGTAAAAATTATTTATTTTTCTCTCTGTGTAGCTTAAAGGCCCTGACACCGCGTGACATTACCTCTGAGATTGGAAACTACTGAGAGCTAGGGAACATTGAGATTATGTAGAGAACAAAATATAATCGGTGATAACCCCCCGGGGCGACTTTAAATGTGTTTCTGTGGACTTTAAGTCTGGGGAGAGTAAAGCAAATCAGCTGAGTGGAATCTATTCTAGTGGAAAGATTCCATTAAAAGTAATGCATTTCAATGAAATTTGAAAAGCTAAGATTATAATTATCAGCTAAACATTTATAGAAGCCAATGCACTTTTGAATCAAGTTTTATGTTTAATGTTAATGTGCTCCAGTTAAAAATGTTTTCTTTAAAATGTTTGAACTTTAAAGATAAGAATTTGAATTTCTTAATGTAAATCATGGTCAAAGTATTAAGTTATAATATAATATTATATGTCACTTATTTTTCACAGAAACGTCAGAAGGGAAACAAGTTTGAGATCTTTCCACCTGGATATTTTCGAAAAATATGTCAAAGTAAACGTGAGAACTGCGAGTATTACGCCAAGCAGTTGGTGGGCAGCGCCCACAGCAATAAACAGGTTATAAATACAAAAAAATCTCAGCAATTTCTAGGTACACCCTATTAAAACTAACTATTTCCCCAGCTACTAGAAGCCTTCAACTATGAAAATCTTTTGCAAGGCGGTTCTACGAGGGAGATAAAACATCTACAGCAGATATGGAAATCGGGTGACTTTATTTCGTACGATTTCGGTACAGTGGAGAATTTGCAGACCTACCACGGAGTAGAAGCACTTACTTACAATATAAGTCAGATTACTGTGCCGATCGTGTTGTATTTCGGGGAAACCGATGCTATTGCCACGCCAGAAGGTGTGCATGGCATTTATGCCCGAATGCTGAAGTCAGTGAAGAGTGTGAGGAGAATTAACTCCCCAAAATTCAATCACTTGGATTTTCTTATCTCAAACGACGTCAAAAGCCTAGTCAACGACAAAGTAATCGAGCAAATGGAACAGTTTCTCGGGGGCCGATTACCGTACGTAATTGAATGACCGCCAAAAGAAAGGTGTTGGAACCCATTAAAATTGAAATGACAAATAATAATTGCCCGGCCAAATGCTTTATTTGCTTTGGCAGTCGTCCCAAATGCCAATTATGTAATGCGGTAGCCAGACCATAAAATATATACATATATATGTATAATTCATAAAGCCAGCCGCCACAACTGGTCGACACTTTTACTTTCTTTTGATGGCCAACAAAAAAAGTATCTGTTTTCAGTGTCTTTTGTGCTGCTTTAGGCCAAAAAAAGGTTTGGGCTATAAAGCCATTTCGGTGGTAAAACGACAAAGCAGAAATAATGATAATTACCTTAATGGAAGTGTTTTGACTGGCTTTTCAAAATTGGGTGATGCACACTAAATAAATATTGTGATTTTATTAACTTAGGTGTCAAACTAATATTTGTATAAACCTTTTTTTAGGTTATTCACTTATAAATTTAAATTAACTTTCGAAATTTAAATAGCTTTATAATAATTAAAAAAAACCCAGTAAATAAATCTTTTGTGTCAGCCCGACGTAAAAAAAGTTTTGAATAATTCATTTGAATTCGATTAGTAATTACAAAAAATTTGATGGTTTATGTATTTTTTTCCTATTGTGTCAGGTGAAATCATAAACAATTTTACAACAGTTATGTGAGCATTTTTGTGTGATAAGATAATTTGTAATTCTATTGAACACGGTTTAATTCGACAGCTGATTAAATTTCTGACTCGATGCTTCACTGTAATGGCTGCACTTGATGGGTTTCTTGTTCCCGATTACTACGCCCTGCGCGTCGGAAATAAAAAGACTCTCTTTCATACCCATATTTAATTAACTGGCCGAAAACGTAAAACACAATCGAAATGTAAACAAAAGAAGCTAGCACGTCACAGTGCGCAATGTTGTTGTCTGATCGAAAGTTTTTTCGTATTTCGGCACTCTCTTATTATTATTTTTGTTGTATTTGCTGCAGGGCCTGTGCAGAAGTTCGTCGGTGTGGTTTTTGTAGCTATCGGTTCGTTCCGTTGACAGTCTTCGAATTGGTCTTCAGTTGAGTTCGCGACGCGTTGCGCTGAGGTTGATATAGAGGTTGAATTCCATTGAAAGAGTCGCCTCTGTCAGTTTCACTTTCGCCCAAATATTGTGGCCAAGTTAAGATGCGGCCCAACCTGAGGATGCGGTTGATCCTGCTGCTCGGTCTGTGTGTGTTCGTCTGCAGGATTCAGGGACAGCTGATTGGCGGCGAGGAGGACGAAGAGGACGAGGAGGAGGAGGAAGAGGAGGAGGAGAGCGTCGAGGACGAAACGCTGGAGGAGCGGCTGCAGCGCAAGAACATCAAGCAGGACTCGACACTCAGCGTGGTAAAAAAATTCTTAGTCGCTAGAAACTTATTATGGAATACTGATTTAGTTAATATGTTTGATTCATAAAAAAAGGATTTGAATATGAGGACAATTTAAAGTTTGAACCCCATCTTTCAATGTTAAAGTTCGAGATATAGAGAGTTTTGAGTTAAAGTTATGGTTGGAGTAATGAAAGTTTGACTTTTGTGTCCAATTGTTTAAAATTTAGTTAGAAGAGCTAAAGAAAGTTCCATAAGGAAAATAAGAGCTTAAGATGTTTTGACTGTACATGTTATTTCTGAATATTTCTTAAAAGTATTAAAAGCCTTATAGAAAAAAAGTTATTTTGACTAAATATACTTATTTAATTAAATGTCTTATTGCACGAAATAGGACCGATTTCTGCATTCGTTATTACTTACGATCTCGTAATGGGATTAATAAATACTGTCATTATCTTTATTTTGCTTATTCTAAAAGCATTCACTTTTGGTGCGCAAAAATAGCTTACATTAAACTTTATTTGTTTTTTACATAGGTAAAAGTTTTTGTTCTAGCATCACAACTTTTAAGCGAGCTCATGGTTAAAAGTTATATTGGTTATTATAAACTTTTAAATGAAAGGCATAATATATTTTTTTGCAATGGGAAAAGTCACGCATTTGTATGCCAAGTAGGCGATTATCTTCTCCATGCGGTGATGGTCAACACTTTTTCACACATTTCGTTGACAGGACAAATTAATCGCCAAGTACGGCTACGAGGCGGAGGTGCATCATGTGACCACCGAGGACGGATACATCCTCACCATGCACCGCATCCGCAAGCAGGGCGCCCCTCCATTCCTGCTCCAGCACGGACTGGTGGACAGCTCGGCGGGATTTGTGGTAATGGGTCCCAACGTGAGCCTGGGTAAGTGTCCGCTGGTGCGTCGTCCGTGATTAATGGCCAAGTGATTACGACCGAGGTCCACTTCACAGCCTACTTGCTGGCCGACCACAACTACGATGTTTGGCTGGGGAACGCGCGCGGCAACCGCTACTCGAGGAACCACACCACTCTCGACCCGGATGAGTCCAAGTTCTGGGACTTCAGCTGGCACGAGATCGGCATGTACGACCTGCCGGCGATGATTGATCATGTGCTGAAGGCCACCGGCTTCCCGAAACTCCACTACGCCGGCCACTCGCAGGGCTGCACCTCCTTCTTTGTCATGTGTTCCATGCGGCCCGCCTACAACGCCAAGGTCGTCTCCATGCAGGCCCTGGCCCCCGCCGTCTACGCCAAGGAGACCGAGGACCATCCCTACATCCGGGCCATCAGTCTGTACTTTAACGTGAGTTGCGCTGATTGTTGTCTTTTAGATTAGATTTAAAGCAAAGCAAAGTCAATACGCGCAAAACAAAATTGTCATAGAAACTAAGATATTGGGTAGAAAAATTTATCAAAATCAATTTGATGAGTATTAAATTAATACCACGAAAGTTTAAAAATAAGCTCTTAGAATCTTCGGCTTAAAAATCACTCTAAAAAGTATAAGGCTTTTTTTATTAGTATAGAAATAATACTTGACAGTATTAAAGTCTTTAGTTTATATTTAAGAAACGCATATAAAAACTGAACTTTCAGTTTATCTTTTGGGTGTAGCAGTTTGCCTGGGCAGGAAAAGAAACACAAAGTAATTTTGTGTTACTTCGTATACATTAAGCTAGTTATCATCTATTTTAGATAATGATTGCGCGATTAAAACTTCATCCTTCATTTAAGGTATTAAAAAATACTACTAACTTAAAATGTAATTTGAATCTTAACAAATATTCAAAAAAATATATTAACTGGACTTCTGCATTAGTATAACTAACTGAACCTCATGAATAGTTTAAGACTAATTAGAGCCCTTGTGTATTTTCAGAGCCTTGTGGGCAGCTCGATCAGGGAGATGTTTAACGGGGAGTTTCGCTTCCTGTGCCGGATGACCGAGGAAACGGAACGCCTGTGCATCGAGGCTGTCTTTGGAATTGTGGGGCGCAACTGGAACGAGTTCAACAGGGTAACTTTACACTGAAGCATCATAAGCGCATGGATGAACTTTTAAGTGTAATTGCAGAAAATGTTCCCCGTGATACTGGGTCACTATCCGGCTGGAGTGGCTGCCAAGCAGGTGAAGCACTTCATCCAGATCATCAAGAGTGGCCGCTTTGCCCCGTACAGCTACAGTTCGAACAAGAACATGCAGTTGTACAGGGATCACCTGCCACCGCGGTACAACTTGAGTCAGGTGACAGTGCCCACTTTCGTGTACTACTCCACGAACGATCTGCTGTGTCATCCCAACGATGTGGAGTCCATGTGCGATGACCTGGGCAACGTGACGGGAAAGTATTTGGTGCCCCAGAAGGAGTTCAACCACATGGATTTCCTCTGGGCCATCGATGTAAGGAAAATGCTTTATAGACGAATGCTGCAAGTGCTCGGAAAATTGCCCGAGGACTCACAGGAAGAGGCTAATCGATCTAGAAGGGGGGCCCGGGCCAGATCAATACGACTTTAAGTATAAAAAAAAAAATTATATAAAAACTATTATAAGTATTTATTTCGAACAATAAAATAGTAAGCCTAAGTTATTTTTTTTGATTTACCTTAATTTTTGGCATAGGTATTTTTTATAAATATAAAAAAATAGGTTGAGTGCCTATTTTGGTAAAAGTGCCAGGATAGCATTATTAGCCAACGTACCTTGTTCTTCCAAATTCAATATTTATTTATTTATTTGCTGTCCGCTGCACTTTGCTTTAAATGTGGCAAAGAGTTCCGTATTTGCATAACATTTCGCATTTTCAAGTATGCATGGGTAACTTGAGCGGAAGCGGAAGTCAAGTGTTTCTTTCGCCCCACAAAAGCCGTAACAGATTTTGCATCAACATCAGCCAGCTGGCGGGCCAAGATACATGCATTTGTAAGCAGATTTCCTGCGAGCACAATTTTCCATTTTCCCCAGCGCATGCCAGTGGGCCAAACAGCTGACACCGGGGCTAAGAAGCTGCCGCTTTTCCTGCCCCGGCTCGACTTTCGTGGGCTTTCGGCCCACATTGTCTCGACATTTGCATTTGTGTCGAGCTCAGCTCTCCGCAACTGCGCTTTTCCTGCAAACACCAGCAGCCAAGTTAAGTGAAAAACTGTGTCTAACTCGGCGGCAACTGAGTGCCACGTTGGTCGATTCAATTTGGCTCTAGACTGTGAAAAGAATTTGTTTCCTTTCCATTTCATAAATTTACCAATTATTAACCTAACATATGTCATCAAGAGAACCTGACTTATAAATCATTGAAGGCATAACACTAAATTCCAGCTTAACTGGTTATCTATATAAGGGATAAGTGGGAATATGTCTAGTATTGTTACACGAGTGTGACGACCCGCGCTTAAAAAAGATGCTAATTTTATCATACTTTAATTGTCAGAAATTTATCAATTTAATACACTATCGTACTTAGAAATAAACTATCAACAGAATTTAATTTTGATATTTTATTTGCTTCGCAGAAAACTAGTTAGTTATTCAATCACTCACATTTACAGGCTATTGTTAGTATGAGGTTTTTAATTAAAAATTTAAAAAGTGTAGATGGTAGACTTTGAGAATTAATTGGCCTTAATTTGGCTACTAGTTCTCGGCACGTGTTATCACTTTAGACTACGGTGAATCCTCTAACCGAATAAGCACCAGACGCAGACAAAAAATAATGATAACTGTTATAGAACTTGTTTTCCCGTCTTTTTTTTAGAAATTAACGAATAAAATTTTTTTTATATTTTAAATTAAAAATTTGTTTTAAGGTTACCAACACAATTCTCTAAAAATATTAGTTGTGTGGTTATTTTGGTATATGCTTATTAAAAATTAACAGCTGTTGGAATATAAATAAAGAAGTTATATATTTAGCGACGCCTAACTGTAGTTGCTATTACGTCTGGCGACTAGGCGTATTTTCGGTTCTATAAATACTAGCCGTTTTCTCGGAAAGCCGTTAGTGACTTTTAGACAATGTTTCCCAAGGGATTGTTTTTACTTATGAGCGCATGTTGCCTGTCATTGGCATCCGCTGGATTTGGACTCAGTCTGGAAGGCAGTAGCGGTGGTTTCTCCGCTCAAGGAAGTCTGCCTGGCTTTAATCTGGGCGGAGGAGGACAAAATGGATACAATGGAGGATCTATCGGGACTGGAGGCAATCCGATTGGTCTGTCTGCCAGCGGATATTATAACTCTGAATCTTCAGGATCGATCCTGAATGAGGCTGCGAATGGTCTGCTAGGAGCTGCAGGAACTGGAGCCAGTGTTGTACTTTCCGCAGGATCTATTGCAGCATCACATGGAGCTCAAGCTGCTAATGGAGTCCTGGAAGCTGCTGAAACTGGAGCTAACATTATACACTCTGCAGGATCGACAGCTGCTTCTCTTGGAGCACAAGCTGTTAACGGATTTTTAGGAGCTGCAGAAACCGGAGCCAATATTGTACACACTGCAGGATCAATAGCTACCTCTCATGGAGATCAAGCTGCTAATGGAATCTTGGGAGCTGCAGAAACAATACCCAATATTTTTCTCTCCACAGGATCGACAGTTGCCACCCGTGTAGGTCAGGCTACAGATAATGTGGCATCTGAAAGTAGTGGATCCGAAGGATCAGTATGCCTGGAAGCCGGTCATTTAAGTATCGAAACCATGGGAAACACTGGTTCCGGAGGATCCGATGCTAAAGTGTCCAGCGTTGGTCTTGGAGGCACTACAGCATCACTGGGATCGAATGGAGGTTCTAGCTCCCTTTCCCTTGGTGGCACTAGCTCAGGAGGATATAACCGGGGAAGCGTCAGTCTTGGTGGAAATGGGGTTAGCCTAGGAGGCAGCCTGGGAGGAAATTCTGGAAGCGCCGGACTTGGATTTGGTGGCGGTCACCTTGGTGGATCCATTAACCGCGGAGCAGGACTTTTCCTTGGCTAGTTTAAGTTATCTTTAAATTTTAAAAGTATTCCACTGTATTGTAAGTATTATTATACAAAACTTAGAAATTATCAAAACAGACCTTTAAAAGGTAATACATATATGTACATTCATGTTAGCTGTACGCCACCTAAGAGATTTTATCGAAGGTCTCCGTTTGTGAATTAATTATATCTCATCAGAACTTAAACGAAGTGAAACTTAATATACATTCTGCAGCACAACTATAACGGGCAACGGAAATGCTTGATGATGATTATTTAACTTAATTCAGTTGTTCAAAGCGGATAAACCCAGTCTTCAATGTTTATACTAGTGGATTTAATGTTTGCTTTAATTTACTACTACTTTTAAATACTACTTAAATGTGCTTGAATAAAGAGTAGTACTAAAATTCTCAACACTGTAATCTATACATTGTTCCTTGAAAGTGTTTAGCACTTTTATATAATTCATCAGTGTTTGTTACGATTGGATTTACTCTATCAAACCTGAGTGACGTAGACCTAAAGGGTCATTGTCGTAATCATCGAACGCCTAAGAATATCATTTAAATGAAAATCAATCTAATCTTGGGCGAGCCAAGAGTCAATGCAGCTATTTTCGAAGCAAGTGATGATTAAATTTGTTTACATAAGATTTCGCGATTAAACAGTGGATTATTACTGGCAGTATACACTCTCTCTCTCTTAATAACTCATGTTCAACACATTTTTCTGCTTTTATTTAAAATACTGTTTTCTAAGCTTAACAATAGAAATCGGCCTTAGATTCATTAAGTTAATTCATCGATCATTCCTGCTGATGATCATGATCATGAATCTCCCGCGGGCTGAACACACCCTCCTAAACATTCGGTTCTTCCTAGGGTATACTGTAATTTCCAGCTGTAGACAATCGAGAATATTAAATGGTAATGAAACTCGTTATTGTTCTCCACGGGAACTAGTTACACTGTGCCACAGAACTACGCATTTAGCAATACTGTATTCAAAAACTCAAATCAACGGCTTTTTGCGAAGTAAATATACTAAGTGTTTTTTTAATTTAATCATCATCATCAACTTTTTAAATTTCATTCCTTAAATATCTAAAACTTACGTAGTTCTTGCGATATGAATATATTATTTAATTCAATATTTTACTTAATTATGCAAAGTTAATAAATTACATATTTCCCTAAATAATAATAAAGAAGAAAAGCTTTTTTAATTGTGTGCTATTTAAAAAAAATAAACAATATAGGTAATTTAGAACTCCATCAAAATTACTAACTACAAGAAAGACAGCAAACTTCGGCAAGCCGAAGTTCATATACCCTTGCAGCTATCGCAAGAATTAAATATTTTTGAAAACATTAAAATTATGATTTACTTGCGTATATGTTTAAAAACATTGAAGCTATGACGATTTGCAGCTTAATTATTTGATTGTTCTTTTATATATTTTTATTATTTGTATGGGAGCTATATGATATAGTCGTCCGATTTTGATGAAATTTTAACCATAATTCTGAAATATTTAACCATTGCTATATGTCGAAGAACTAAACAAAAAATTAAAAAACAGCAAAGTTATAATTTTTTTCAATTATTTTTCCGATTGTTCCTATGGGAGCTATATGCTATAGTCGTCCGATTTTGATGAAATTTTAACCATAATTCTGAAATATTTAACCATTGCTATATGTCGAAGAACTAAACAAAAAATTAAAAAACAGCAAAGTTCTAATTTTTTTCAATTATTTTTCCGATTGTTCCTATGGGAGCTATATGCTATAGTCGTCCGATTTTGATGAAATTTTAGCCATAATTCTGAAATATTTAACCATTGCTTTATGTCGAAGGACAAAACAAAAAATTAAAAAACAGCAAAGTTATAATTTTTTTCAATTGTTTTTCCGATTGTTCCTATGGGAGCTATATGCTATAGTCGTCCGATTTTGATGAAATTTAAAACATAATTCTGAATTATTTAACCATTGCTATATGTCGAAGAACTAAACAAAAAATTAAAAAACAGCAAAGTTATAATTTTTTTTCAATTATTTTTCCGATTGTTCCTATGGGAGCTATATGCTATAGTCGTCCGATTTTGATGTAATTTAAACCATAATTCTGAATTATTTAACCATTGCTATATGTCGAAGAACTAAACAAAAAATTAAAAAACAGCAAAGTTATAATTTTTTTCAATTATTTTTCCGATTGTTCCTATGGGAGCTATATGCTATAGTCGTCCGATCCGGCTCGTTCCGACTTATATACTACCTGCAATAGAAAGACAACTTTTGGGAAAGTTTCATGCAGATAGCTTTAAAACTGAGAGACTAGTTTGCATAGAAACGGACGGACAGACGGACAGACTGACAGACGGACAGACGGACAGACGGACGGACAGACGGACATGGCTAGATCGACTCTACTAGTGATGCTGATCAAGAATATATATACTTTATAGGGTCGGAAACGTCTCCTTCACTGCGTTGCAAACTTCTGACTGAAATTATAATACCCTCTGCAAGGGTATAAAAATCACCGTATTTCCTGTAAAATTGGTAAGTTTTTCCAAGTTGTGTGATCATTTTTAAAAAAATTAAAAATTGAATTAAATATGCATCCTATTTCTTAAAATTATAAATATTATAATATTTTTTTTGTAGTCTAGTGTAGTTTCAGTTTTTGCCTGGCTTGACCCTAGGATCTGAGCATTCGGAACGTGACTGCTGTTCTTTTTTTCGCGCTCTGCGAAATTTTGTAGCAAGTATTTTGCTATTATTTGTGTTTTTTGCACGGCGGAGAGCCTCTTATAAAAGCCGGCATCTTTCTAGGGAGCACAGTTAGTGAGCTGCAGGCAAAGGTTCCGATGCGTCTGTTTGTAGTGCTGAGTGTTTGTGTGGCTTTGGCATCCGCCGGAGGTTACGGCGGTGGTGGAGGAGGAGGCGGAGGAGGAGGTGGTGCTGGAGGACATGCCGCGTCCTCTGCTTCGGCATCCGCTTCGGCCGGAGCATTTGGCGGCGGCGACAGTGGCGGTGGCGGTAAATTCGGAGGAGGACATGGATCCGGCGGTCCCGGCTCCGGAGGTCACGGAGGTGGCGGTTTCGGCCCTGGAGGAGATTACGGAGGTGGCCTAGATGGCGGATTCGGCGGTGGATCTGCTGGAGCCTCGTCCAATGGTCTTTCGGGCGGAGCTATTGGAGGTCCATTCGGAGGAGGCGGTCATTCCGGCGGTGGCGTTATTTCCGGCGGAGGAGGAGGCGGACATTCTGTAGGAGGTGGTTCCTTTGGCGGTGGCCATTCCGGCGGAGGAGGCGGACCTGGCTTCGGTTCAGGAGGATTAATTGGCGGAGGAGGTGGAGGTGGTCATTCCGGAGGCGGAGGAGGTGTTCCAGGATTCGGCCCAGGTGGATCAATCGGCGGAGGAGGTGGAGGTGGTCATTCAGGAGGCGGAGGAGGAGGTCCTGGATATGGATCAGGTGGACTAATCGGTGGAGGAGGTGGACATTCCGGAGGAGGAGGTCCTGGATTCGGATCAGGTGGAGGTCACGGCGGCAGCTCTGCTTCATCTTCGGCCGGATCAATTGGTGGCGGTCATGGATCTGGAACGCCAGGAGGTGGTTATGGAGGAGGCGGACTCATTGGAGGAGGTCCCGGATTCGGTCCAGGTGGCGGAATCGGAGGAGGTAGTCACTCAGGAGGAGGTGGAGGCTTTGGCCCCGGATTCGGAGGTGGAGCCGGTGGCGGTCACTTTGGAGGTGGTCTCAGTGGTCACAAGCAAGGCGGCCATGGAGGCGGTGGTGGATACAAGGGCGGATCTGGAGGAGGTGGCGGATACGGCGGCGGCGGCGGTGGTGGTGGTGGTGGCTACGGAGGAAGGCCTGGAGGTGGCGGCGGATATGGAGGTGGTGCCAGCTCGAGCGCCTCTGCTTCGGCCAGTGCTTCGGCGGGTAGTGGCGGTGGCTACCACGGCTAGTGCTATTTCCCCTAAACCGTAAAAACCTGCAATTGCCCAAATCGCTTGAAAGTATTACCCACGATTTCAATAAAATGGTTCATTTTTGTATACCAAAAGTGCCTTTAATTAAAAAAATTGCATAATATATTTGGTTTTTATTTAATTAATCTTTTGAGATTGGATCTTGCAGAGCAGAGTAGAATTTTAAAGTTTAAAATATAATAAAAATCTCCTAAATGGGCAGCCTCATTTTCGAAGATCCGATTTTTGAAACGGACGACTTTATCCCAAGGATGTAGTTAGAAAATAAATAGAAACAAAATGATTTAAGTTGTAGTAATGGCTTAATAATTAAGAATTACGGATTAAATTTTATTAAAATCAGGCAACGATAGCATTCTGCCATAGGAAAGATGAAATAGTTCATCGGAAAATCATCATAGCTTAACTGCTTGATTGGCTTAAAATCGTTATAATTTTCCAATAAAGAACATTACATTTTTGATATAGCTGCAAGAGTATATAAGATCGTCACGCCAAATTGTGCTTAATTTCTTGGGAAATCTTAATTTTCTTAATTTAATTGGGAAATCTGGCATGCAAAGTTTTCGCCAAAATTAATGGCCTATTAGAGGGGCACAGACTTGTATTAGCCCCAACCGAAGACATTGATGCCACGCATGGCCACATAAATCTCTTAAATGGCCAAGACAGACTGCGCTCTTCTTGGATTTTATGTGTCCCCCACAAACATTTATCATTAAGTAAAGTTTTACTATTGCAAATTGTTGCACACAATGGCAACAAATTGAAATCTTAAGCAAGCTCCTTTGCGTTTGCGTTTGCGTTTCCGTTTGCTCCATCTTCGGTCTCAGCCTGAAAGTGCACTTTTATTGCCGGAGGAGCAGCATCTGCTTGGGAGTCCGGGTGCGGAGTCCGCCGTCTGGACTTGGCAATAAACTCCGAGACCAATTTGCACAAGGACGATGAACCCCTGTGGTGCAGTTTTGCAACATAAAGGCGGAAAATCGGAAAAGCGGAAGTGGGGCCGGCAGACTGTTGGCGGTTTGCCACACACAGCAGTCGCTGCTGCAACAGTTGTTGGCCTTTGTAGGATTGACAATATGGCCGGGCCCTAACCCTTTGTTGGCTGCAAATTTATGTTGGGCAATAAAATAAATGCGAAATGTTTATCAATGTGCCAGTGCACATTTTTGCTCTCCGACTCATCACAGGTATGGCCTCAAAGTGTGCAGCATTTCGTTTCGATCTCCCAGTACTTCGGCGCCCGCAAGTAGGCAATACATTTTGGCTTCGCCCGCTGGCAGCCAGCATTTAATTAAAATTAAATAATTCAGATTGCGTATCGAACTGCCTGTGGTGGGTGCATATCCATATCGGGTCGGTCGCCAAATGGTTTTCTGGTCGGATCGCTTTGTTCATTAGCCCGCTGGCCGAGTAATTGAAAAGTTTGCACTGCCTGGGCGCGGGTAATGGTAATTCAATTTGCGTGGAGTGCAGTGCAAAAACTATGGAAAACGGCCATAACAATAAACGTCGGCTAAAATGCGAAAATATTACAGCACACTGATTGCGTGCGTTTGTGTGTTTTCCAAATTAACAGGACCTTCATTAGTTGGCATTTTAATAATATTTTATTTTGTCCCAGACCGCCGACTAATGTGATAGTATTCATTTTGGCCAGGTTCAAATTATTTCAGTTTGATTGATTTTAATAAACAAATATTTGCACTTACAGTCCATTATTAATGTGTTCTGGTTATTTACTCATCGAAATGTATATCAATTTGGAAGTTTCTCATTCGAATTGCCCACTTAGACAGCTAATTATGTAATGAATTGAAAACTATTGCTCGGCAAATACTGATAATACTGTGCCATTTGAAGGCCATTAATATTGAAACACAAAGAAATCGCTGGGGGAAAAATCACATAATGCTCAGTCTTATATAAAAACTAAAAAAGCCTCACCACAAATGCGGCAAAAAAATAAAAATATAAATAAATATACGATCCCGGGACTGACCGGTTCCATTAGGCGATTATGTTACGGATTTTTTGCATAAGCCAACAACGAAAACAATATTCAAATCGCCGGGCAATTAATGCCTTTTTATAAGTAGTTCAAACTACACGTAAACTTTTCTATTTAAGAGGATTTACTAATGGCTGATTTGGCCTCTAAAAATCACCGAATTCTAACTACTTTGCTAATTTAATTTTCACAACTTCTGAACTGGATAACCCCTTCGGACATGAGTCGCTAATCGTCACACATGTCACCGATCTCCTCAATACCGTATGGGCACTCACAGTTTGCTGTGACGACACTAAAACAGGTTTTACCAACCCGTATTTATATTCTATATAGAAATGATATTTGTGTTTGTTGTTTTATTAATTAACAGACGCTGAAATCTTGTCCGCTGCGCATGGGAGACTTTATTGTTATGAACTGTTAAGACTCAGATCTCTAAGAGCCCGAATTATGGGGATTTTGCAATTGCTATCGTGTGCTGTCTCATTAAAATGTGTGATTTTTTCTCCCTAATGACCCGTGCAAACATATCATTTTGCTGAGGGATTACTACTCGAAGTAGTCATGAATGGTTGATTTCACTTCGAGACTATTTCTTACTCATTGCAAATATAGATAGTATTGTGTTTGATATATTTGCTTTAGTAAAACTCATCTTTACTACTTATAGTGTAAACCGTTGTCTAAAAAGTAGACTTAGACATGATTTAGGTTTACTTTCACTCAATAATTATTTCTAAATATAAAGCACTCCAAACAAATATACAAAAATATAATTCAACGTTGTAATTTGTACATTTCCCTTTATTTTAAAACACAGCTGATTATATGAAATATTTCCAACAAATTACACACTTAATTATATCCACTGTGTAGCTTTCTGCTCTAGTTTTAAATTGTATGTTTAACATTTTATATAAGCAATCATTTCTTAATTAAGCTGTTACACTTTCAGGATTAAAAAAAACGAATAAAGATATTTTGCGCGATTGGAAGTGAAGACTTTCTGGGGCGGACTGAGCCATTTCTTGTGCAGAGTGGCCGCGAAACCCAATGAAATGCCCAAGAGCCACCGGCTATTTGTCAGTGATCTCACCACCTCCAACTGGCCCACTCCACTCGAGCAGCGTTTTGGAAACATCGCCATCGAAACCGCTTTCATACGAACAAAACAAGATAGAGGGGAATAAACTCTTCAAGACTAACCTGTCAGATGATCGGCATTAGACGAAATCAACCGGTGAAGAGTACCCTTGATCTTGGTGGGGAACTACGCAGATCAGGAAGAGCCGCGTATCGATTTGTAAACAACCTGGCTGACTTCTCCCAAACACTAGCACATGGGTCAACTGTTGGCCTGGGTCGATAATTATGCGTTTTCATATTTCGGAGCGTGTATGGGGAACCACCCGGCAAACAAAGTCATCGCTTCGAGTGGTAACACTGTGCGGCAAATATTTAATCCTTACTTAAATTTAATAGGTGTCAAATTTAAAAGTGTTTTTTATTTTATTTTTGTTCATATTATAAACGTTAATTTAAATCACCTAATCAATCATCAGAAGGAAGGCTATAAATTCATCATTTGTTTTTATAAATAAATTCATATATCAAAATCATTTTTAATCCCTTCATCAGTCATCAGAAGAAGGGCTATATATTTATATGATTTGTTTTTATTTTCTCGCAGAGTTAAATAAATATCATTAGCAGGTAATTAGAAAGAGAATAATATGAAAAATCCATATTTTAGAATACTTGAACAATTAAAAAACCACACATTTATTGAATTATTTCTTCAATAAGAATAAACTTGGCCATAAAAAATACATCTTTATATAAAAAATACAAATACAGTTATAAAAGAACACTAAACTTTTTAAGGATCAAACCAAAATACTCAAGTGGTGATAAATTAGATCATTAAAGTACGAATTAACTCCTTAATGAAAAATTTTTGTTGCCTAGTGTAATTAGATTTGAGAGCAAATGGAATAAAATATAAAGAAAACCGGTAGGTGGTCGGTTCAACTGCCGAAACCATTTGTCACAGCCATCTCGCCTCAAATTTGACTGGCCGGTATGTGACGGCTTTTCTGAGCAGTGCAGGTGGTATAAATACTTTAGCGATTCTCCTGAGAGCTCGTCAGTTCCAGCCCAGGCAATCCAGCGATCGCACACAGAAAACCCATTGGCCTGAAATTGTAGAAATTCCCAAAATAATGAAGACCCTGATTGTTCTTGCTCTGCTGGTGGCCGCCGTCTCGGCTCTACCTCAGTTTGGGTTCGGAGGACCTAGATTTGGCGGACCCGGATTCGGAGGCGGAGGATTTGGCGGACCCGGATTTGGAGGTGGCGGATTCGGAAGACCCGGATTTGGAGGTGGCGGCTACGGTGGAGGACCATATGGTGGATTTGGCGGAAATCCCAATGGCGGCGGATTCGGCGGAGGTCCCTATGGCGGCGGCGGCTTCGGCGGTAATCCCTATGGTGGATTTGGAGGTGGCAGGCGTCATGGCGGCGGCGGACACGGTGGTGGCGGAGGTGCTGCCTCAGCATCGGCCTCGTCGAGCGCCTCAGCCGCCGGTGGAGGTGGCGGTGCTGCCTCGGCATCCGCCTCCTCATCGGCCTCAGCCAGCGGCGGCGGCAACTTCTACGGCTAAGCGCAATGAGAGAAGATAATCTAGTGCCTAGGTTAAGCTAAGATAAATGTTTGAAGAAAGTCTGAAATAAAAAAAATTAAAACCCACATACAAGGTATTTTAGTGTTCAGCTAGAAAATCGAGTAAAATATCATTATCTTGACTTAAAATGTAACTCATTTTATATATGTTGTATATTTCATTTAATTTTTTGATCTCAGAGTTAAAAATATAAATCCCCTTTTCAATGATTAAATTATTAAATGATATGAACAAATATTTTAAAAATACAAAAATTTATTTTAATGCCTCAACAATTATTTAATTTACTATTTATCATTATTAATATGTAATTCCATTTGCAATTTATTTTTAAAATTTTTCTACAAACTCGGCACTACAAGCATTTTAAATTTGTTTGCCAAGCATACAGAATTCACACAGTGCATTTTTAATTTGTTTATTTGTAATTAAAACTGTGAAGAGGTAGAACTTTAACACTGATTGTATTTGCAAATTACCAGTCACCATAGATCTGACTCCCTTACATCTATGTTTTGAACCACTTAATCACCTTAAATTCGCTTCAGACGGGGGCCGATCTGAATAAAATTGCCGTTAATTCATGCATATAAGTCGGCAGAAATAATAAAAATAGTTGCACATTCGTTCATCAAAGTTTGGATAGATTTGGCATAGGTGATGCGGGCTTTGGGGAGTAGGAGACTTTTCAGTACCCTTTTACATATGTGTGTGGCCTAGTAAATCTCGAAAGATCACTTGACACACACTCAGGGGACTCCCCTCACATCGTGTCGCTCTTAGGACCATTACTTTTTTCATTGCTTTCCAAACTGAACAAACAAAAACAATACAAAATATTCATTTGCATTTCAAATTTTTCGGGATTTTGTTTTTCCTTTATCAAGCCTCTGGTACTAATTAGAAGAATTAACATTTCGAATTTGTCCAAATTCAAGTTTTATAACATTATCAATTATATTCTGCTTTTATGGAAGCACGGATAAACAAACAAATAAAAATTTGCGCGTCGCGAAAAAAAATCATTAAAAATCTGAACAGTTGGGCACGGGCAACAAAAAAAACGTAAGCATAAATTATTGTGGACAAGAAAATCAGTCATCTACTTTTGATACAACGAAGAAATTTATTATTAGCCGCATAGAGATGCTAAAATTGAACCAGTTCCACGGGTAAAATGTTACTTGGTTGTGTTGAAATAAAAATATTTTACAATTGTTTAATTTAATTTAATTTTTTTAGGGGCAAGTTCATTTCTTATAAATTTAAATTATGATTCGAAAAATAAAAATAGGTTTTTAAAATAAAATATCATCGAGATTTAAAAAACATTAGCAGATCTTGACTTTTTTGACTTTTTGGGATTTTTCGTATAATGAAATCTACCTGCAATGATCTTAGACAACCCCTTGGGCATATGTATCTATAATTTACCTCCCTGCAGTCCCCACAGCCAAAACTACTCCACTAATGACATCAGGGAACCCAAATCGATCGTTATGCTGTCGTTATAGTGGACGGCTAGGGAAGGGGGCGCGTCTGAAGTGCTCTCGAGTTTGGGATTAACCGGTTGCAGTGCGGATCAAATGGCCGGGTCTGTTAAACGTAGGGTCTGGCGATCGTACGCCCCGAACCTGCTAATGAGCCGGGCTATAAATATTGATAATACGTTCCGTTTTTTGTTGCTGTCGGACTGCTGCTGCGAAGAGTTCGTTTTGAGGGTGGATCACCGAGAGATCTACGAATCTACGAATCTCTTTTCCGACGCGGAACTGAATAAAAGCCGGCCTCGCCGGTGCAGTGGCCAAGTGTGTGGACAGCTCTCGAAGCGGCAACAACTCAACATGAAACTCTTCATCGCGCTCTCCGTCCTGGTGGCTGTGGCATCGGCCCTGCCTCAGTTTGGCGGCGGCAACGCCAACGCTAATGCCAATGCCAATGCCAACGCTCAAGGCGGCGGCGGATTTGGAGGACGTCCCGGTGGCTTCGGCGGCGGCCCTGGATTCGGAGGTGGCGGCTTTGGAGGTGGCCCAGGATTCGGAGGTGGCCCTGGATTCGGAGGTGGCGGATTTAATCGCGGCCCTGGCGGCTTCGGTGGCGGCGGCTTCGGTGGTCGTCCAGGTGGCGGATTCGGCGGTGGTCCAGGTGGCGGATTCGGCGGTGGTCCAGGATTCGGAGCCGGCGGCTTTGGAGGTCGTCCAGGAGGCGGTTTCGGCGGCGGTGGCGGCGGCGGCTCGTCCAGTGCCTCGGCATCCTCCTCGGCTTCGGCTGCTGGTGGTGGTGGACGAGGTGGCGGATCCGCTTCCGCAACTTCTTCTGCCTCTGCTGCTTCGGGAGGCGGCGGATTCCGCGGTTAAACCAAGTTAAAATTAATTAAGCGATAAGAAATGACTGTGAATAAAAAATTAATAAATTAAAATCAAAATACTTTAATAGTTTTTCAATTGGTGTTATGAAGCAGTTTTCTTGAAGAAATCTCTTTCCAACAAATTAAAACCGAAAGTTAAATCGAATTATATTTTAACAGTTTCAAAAAAGTTCAGAAACTTTGGCAACAGTCCGTTTTCTCTACAGTATTACTGCCAAGAAACGACCAGAAAATGTATTAGAATTCGGCATAAATTTGTTGCCTTTAAACATACAAGCGTCTTTCTCGAACATCCTAAACAACCAATTTTATATGCAAGAGAATAAACAAAACAAATTGAGAATGTCTTGAATGTGATATATTTTTATGCTAATAAACCACTTCGATTTCGAGATTAATAGGATAGAAAAACCAAAACAAAACAGGGGCAAAAAACACCAACAAATACCAAAATAACAATTTTTTGCTAACATAAATCAGTTTTCTCAAACAAATTAATCAAATTATTGGTCCACCGCTTATATTAGTAAAGCTAAAATTATTTCAGAATGCAGTATCGGGATACATAAAAACATGTTAACTATTTGCATCGGTTGATCTTCCAACGGAATTATACATACACGTAAAAATTGTTTTTGATAACGATAAGGAAATGTTTTTTTGTAATAGCTAATAGGTATAAAACATTGCTTAAAAAATTTCCAAAAATTGTATAAAAACAACAGCGGTGTGGACTATATCGGATTGAGCCGACTCTTTTCACGTCCGCAGTTTATGTTATCATTTTTTTTCTGGTCCGGCAGCCTATTTAATATGAATTTAAAATGTAAATTGGAATTAATACAAACTTATATTTATGGCTAAAAATTATGTAAATTCTATAGGGGCTTGTGCGCTTACAGACAAAATTATATTCGTCTTATATAATTGAATAAATTCGAATTGATAGTAGAACAAGGAAACGGTAAAAAAAGTGATAATTATTCAAGAGCGTGTGCGTTTATAGGAAAATATTTGTAATATACGAATGATGACAAGCAACAAATTTCTATTTCTGGATGTGAAGACTATGTGTTTTGTTGTTAACTTTTCATAGCAGTGGGATTTTGGAATATAATAAAATTGCCTTGGTTAAGCCTTTTACCAAACTAAATTTTTTTAATACCATAGTATTTATGTCAAATAGAGCAGTCTGATTCGTCCCACACTTTTTAAGCGTGATATTTATGTGACTCCATAAAATAGTAATCACGGTATATTTAAGCAGCGGCAACAGGTTGCGAATAATGTTAATTGAATAAACTTAAAAAAAACTTTTAGTAAGAAATATTTTTGATTTTTTACAACTTAAAGGGATTTTCCTTCCGGTTTGATACTCTACCATTTTTCTTAGAAAATAAGAAAGTACCAGGCAAATTCTATATAATTAACTGCCCTCGCAACGTTTTCCGTCAGAAAGCAAAGCGGTGACAGTGCCGAAAATATAGAAAAATTAATGCCCAATGAAATATAAACACAAATATTAATAATCGCTTAAATATTGATAGGGGCAAACCGGTTCCATAGAAAACCACCACGATCGCGGCTCGTGTTGGACTAAACACATTTGCAAACTTTCCTCAGACCATTGCATTTAATCATAGCTCTATCTGACTCTTTCTGATGATATCTGCTCCACTCAGGCCCTGCCTAAGTCCCCGATCGCCGATAATATTTTTCGGCAGTGACTATTGTTTGCATGCTAATTTTTTCCCGAGTGGCGGGGCACTCTCAGCTTTTTTTTGTATGCGTCTGCCGGCCGTCTGGCCACTATAAAAGCCGGGCCCTGGGGCATTGGTTACTAAGTTTGTTAAGTCACTCCGATCAAGCAGATCACCATGAAGGTCTTCGTCGTTCTCGCCGTAATCCTGGCCGTGTCCACTGCTGCCCCGCAGTTCGGTGGTAGCGAAGCCAACGCCAATGCCAACGCTCAAGCTCAAGGTCAAGGTGGCTTTGGCGGTCCAGGCGGCTTTGGTGGTCAGCAAGGTGGCTTTGGAGGTGGTCAAGGAGGTGGCTTTGGAGGTCGTCCAGGAGGTGGCTTTGGAGGTCGTCCAGGAGGTGGTTTCGGGGGACCAGGCGGACCTGGATTTGGAGGACCCGGAGGTCCCGGAGGACCAGGCGGTTTTGGAGGACAACAACAAGGTGGATTCGGTGGACAGAATGGATTCGGAAACCAAGGCGGATTCGGCGGCGGTCCTGGATTTGGAGGCGGTCCTGGATTTGGAGGCGGAAAGAGCGAAGCTAATGCTAATGCCAACGCCGTCGCCGAAGGAAACGGTTTTGGAGGTGGAAACGCTAATGCCAATGCTAACGCCAACGCCAGCTCTCGTGGAGGTGGTGCTAATGCCAATGCTAATGCTAGTGCTAGCTCCAGCGCCTTTGGCAAATAAGCCGCGACTATGATCCGAATTTTTTTAAATTATTAAATTTTTTATTATATTAAATACAAAAACTGAAAACAAAATATTTTGAAGCAGATTTTGTTTTATATTTGGCCAAGAGCCCTCCTCTTAAGAAGTTCAAATCATGCAAATGAAATCAAAACAATATAGAAGATACAACTACAGTTAAAAGTTGTAGTACTTTTCTTTAGAAAATGTATATATTTCGATTTTGAACTTACTTGTATTTATTTTGCGATCTAGGAAATATACATGCTCTGAATACGCTTGATATTTTCATGAATACTTTTCCTTCAACATATTTATTTTTATTGGATACACCTAAATCGACAAAATTGTCGACAGTATTTGCTCTATACTAATCAGTTAATTTGAGAGAATTATTTTTTTGATGGTAATCACCAAATAGTTAAACTATATGTTAGCTAGTGTGAACAAAGAAACCGGTCAGCTGGATGTTTTTCACGTCTCAAGTTCGTGATCCATTAGTTAGGTTTTTTTTGTGGAATTGTTACTGCAACTCCCACTTAATAAAGGCCTTAATCTCTAAAGATAAAATGTTTAACTAAGATATTGATTTGTTGGCAGCACGAAGACTACTGTTTAAAAAAAATAAAAATTGAAGCATCCGAAATAGATTGTCATAAAAAGTTAAACAATCCAGTAATTTAAGAAATAACAAGTTGAAGTACATAGAAGTAGGGCATTTTGCTTCTAACATAAGATGTTTATGTTTTGGGCTTTGACTTTATGGACAATTTTTTTAAGACAAAAAGGGTTAAGGCAGTGCATCCCTTACACACTTAAAGAATGAAAACAAATTATATTCTTTCAAACGGTTCTATTTGTTCCACTTTCTAAAGCAAAATAACATAAAATGTAAAAACTGTATTGTTATGCTTAATCAGATGCTTGTGTTTTGTTAAGTGAAACACTAGCTATGCAAAAAATATGCAAATAGTTTACGCAAATCAAAGCAATAAATTAAAAAAAAAACAGGTTTCCAGTTAGGTTTAGCTACCGTAGAAATTTAGCCAAAAGTGAAGCTGTGAAGTCACAATTTTGCTTACCTCAGAAACGTAGCAAGTTTTTAGGAGCTCGAAGATAAATCGATTGACGTCACATCGTTTTTATACCCTTGCAGAGGGTGTTAGTGTTATAGTTACAGTTAAACGTTTTCAAAGGAGACATTTCCAACGCTATAATGACGGCTGTATCATAAGTTGTTTGTATAAGTTTTCGACAGTCATTTATCCTTATTAACGTTGTAAAAGAAATGCAAAAACATGAATTCGTTGTTTGTTATTAAGGTTCCAAAATGACTTAAATCGTCTCTAAAAAACGTACAGGAGCATCGTTTCATTGAACATACTTAAATCGAGGTATTAAAAAGAAATGAAGAAATGGAACTGTTATGCCCGTCAATCACAAAGGGGTTAAACTGGACTTAAAACTGTAAATAAAAAAAAATTAAAAAGTGGACAGTTGCCCGACATGATCAATATACATAGTTTGCATTTACCTTTGCATTTGATTATTTAATTTAATTAAAGTCAATTTTTGGTCCACGTTGAAAAGAACAAAAAAGGTAATGAACTTTGGTAAGAAATCCTTCTACAAATAAAAAATATGTCAAATGGGCCATTTTAAAATTCAAAGGTCACGAAAATTAATAAAAAAATGGAAGCTTTTAAAAATTCTACGTTTTACGAAAGTGCAGGGTTTTGATGATTATTGCTACACTTTCATTTTATAAAAATCTTCGAAATATATATATTTTTTTTATTAAAAGCTATTTTATTTTTAAATTCCATTTGTTTCAGTGTTCCTACCCAGTACAGATTGCTTATTTATTAAAAAAAATCATTGATTCAATAAAAGCATTATATAAAAAGGTGAACAACTAGTGCAAAGTTTTGAGCTTATGTTTTTTTCGATAAGCGTACAATACTTCTCTATATTAAAGTTTCATAAGACGAGCAAATATTTAAAAATTTGTATATTATTGACAAATTTTTTACAATGGGTTAATAATCTAATGCAGAAAACTTTCTAAACAACAATAAAGAAAAAAAAAAAAAACAACGCCTTTTAATTAATATGGAGGCATGAAATTTGCCTAGCAGAGTACAAATTATGCTAATAAATTGAATAAACTAAACCAACAGGTTTTAAACTATTGCTGAATTTTACAAAAACATAAGGTGCTGAGTTTATGATCTCTTCTCCTTTAGACGTAGTTTTTAGGGCGCCTTGACGTCACTGCATGTTTAACTTATGCCCAACTTATAGTAATAAACTATCAAACAAGAAAAAATAACAACAGCTGTGATTTCCGAGAAGCAAATTTAGCATATTAATATATTAATCGGGGTCGCTTCATATCAGGAGGCCCGTCTGGCGCCGTGCCCACTTTTTGAGGTAGTTTTGATTGTTTAGGGTTCACTTCTGCCTTGGTTTTGGATCTATCCTCGGTTTCCCTGGGAAGTGGCGACGGCGTTTGCGTTGGCGGTGGCTGAGGCTGGGCCGCCTCCTTGGCTTTTGGCATCGGCACTGGCGTTGGCAGTGGCAGTGGCGCTGCCACCACCGCCACCCTGTCCACCGAAGGATCCACCGGGTCCACCGTGTCCACCCTGTCCACCGAAGGATCCACCGGGTCCACCACGGTTACCATGGCCAGGATGGGCCTGAACGGCCACCAGGGCGAAGATCAGGAAAATGCAGACAGCCAGGAACTTCATCGTCGGAACTTGCGATGCACTATGAGCGTGTGCTGGCTACTTTTATACCAGCATCCGCAATAGCTGGCTTAGACTTGTTTTGCAAAAAAAAAAATTGGAACAAGCTTAATGCTATTAAAAGTACATATATATATGGGGGGTTCCGTTTGGCACACTAATTAGCCATACATTAAGATCGCATGGCGTTATATATTATTTAATAAATGTATATTGTGCGACCAATAATTGAAAACAGGTTAGTTGAAGACGTCTCAGACATTTAGTTAACTAAAGCATATTTACAGGCCGATCACTAAATCGGCTTAAGAAGCTGACTTTTTAGTTAAACGATTTAACAACTGCATCATTCAAATACGCAAACTGTCGCAAAAGTAACACTTCTCTTGTAATAATATTCATTAAATTAACTTAAATAATTAACACTAGTGTACTTCGGGCACCTGATGTTCAAATAACTAAAAATAAAACAAGCCAAAATTATAAGATTGTGAGCTTCGTTAAATCGTTTGCTTTAATAACAATAAAGTTTTTAAACTTAAAATACGTAAAGTTATTTGATAAGTTTATTGCATTTAAACACTCATATTAAAAAAAAATAAATATACCTTTGTAAAATATTTTCCGTAATTAATAATATGAGAAATAAAAACAATAATAATAGTGGCTTCCACAGAGTTTTGTTATTTTGGGAAGTACCATTCTTGGAATTTTCCTTTTCCCGATTCCAATTTATCCTGGTGCCCTAATGGTCTAGAAGGCGGTTATGAATAAATGGCTTTTTCATATTCTTCAGAAATTAAATGAAAACACAATTTTTGAAGAAAGGTATTCTTTTTTTTGATCGAATAGAGGCAATTAGAGTGATTAAAATGGCTAACGCCTTAAAAATATTACAGGAAACCCCAAGTATATTCTGCACCGGTTTACAATTAGCCACAATGTAGTTTTGCAATAATATTAGTTTTTATTGAAAGACAGTTAGTAAGTTGGGAATGTAGTTATCAAACTATATGGCTCAATATCCGCTATTCGCGTTTGCGGTGGCCACAGCATTAGCATTAGCGGTGCTTCCTCCACCGCGTCCTCCGTAGCCAATAGGTCCTCCGTAGCCACCAGGTCCTCCGTAGCCACCAGGTCCTCCGTAACCACCGGGTCCGCCATAGCCACCGGGTCCTCCATATCCGCCGCCTCCATATCCACCATATCCTCCATGTCCACCATATCCTCCATGTCCAAATCGTCCTCCGTGGCCGTGGACGGACACCAGGGCAAGGATCAGGAATGCGCAGATTGCAAAGAACTTCATCGTGGGTGCTGTGTGTTGTTGTGCCATCTGCGGGACTGGGGTCGCTTTTATACACACATCTGGAGTTAATTTGGATCGGGATTTGAACCAGTTCTGGGACTTATTTATGGGAATCACTGTTAGCAAATGCAAATTGTATTTTTAATTGTTCTCAATACAGTTATCTACCAATTTCTTTAATACTAATTATTTCTTGTGAAATGCACTCCAAACTTGTTTGACCAGATGGCTTACGTTTGTTTACAATAATTTCATTTTTTATGCATTTGCATAAAAGTCAAATAAAATGCCTAATTTTGTCATAATGGCAGGTTGCTTTATTTTGGAATCGATTTGTTTATTGACTGATGCTTACTTCTGTTGGAATAATTTATTTTAATTCATATATTACTTAAGTTACGGGACACTTGTGGATCCTAAGGTAATTATTCACCAGACAGACAAATAAATAAATCAACATTTTATATGTGTCATTCGAATTGGTTTTATAGACTTTATTTTGTGTTAAGTATAAAGTGTGGCATAGTTTTCGGCTATGTCAGAAACTATTAATCAAATTTTGGGGAATAAAGCTTTTATTAACGATACCTAGCTTTTCCTTTCGGACTAAAATTAGTGTATTGTAATATTGTATATTGTATATTCTAAGAAATGGATGTAAAATATAATCATTAAAAAACAATAAAAGTGACAGTACGACAACAGCACTAGGTATTAAATTATTTTGTAACAGTATGTCTGTATATATATTTTTTTGGATTTCCTTAACTATGGCTCGTAACCTTTCGAATATCCTCTTTTTCAGATGTCTTACTTACATGGTGTTTCCCGCATCTTTTGCAAACATGACTAACTGCTTGGTAATGCACATCCCATGGCCTAGAGTGGAGTTAGTCAGCTGGTTATAATAACAAACCAAATCGATCGACCAAAAAACCCGTATCGCCAACACCTTCAATCCGCATTCATTCGATTCACATTCAACATGCAGTTTAGCGCCTGCTGCTCAAGTTCAAATGGAAATTAGCGGTTGGTGTTTGTTTTATAGCCGAACGCTTTCAAATTCCATCGAGAGTAAGGCAAAGCGAACGTGATATTCATTGCAAAACTCCAAAAAGCCCAAAAGGCCCTGTGCCCCTGTGATGGCGATCGGTGAATGAATAATTTGCCAGGCGACCCAAGCCCCTGGACCGGTGCAAAACCAAACAGGTCAGCCAGCCAGGCTGGACCACGTGTCTGTCCGGCGGACTGTCCGCGTCCCTGCCGGAACATAAAAGACCAAAAATGTATGACGACAACTCTTGAGGCGGTTGCCGGTTTTATTTGTTCAGTTTCGAACGCAGGTGGGCAGCGAACAACTTGTGGGCTGCTGAATGTCTGTGCTCGTGGTTTGTTTGATTTCTTGGGTGCGCTGCTCTAACGATCCACAATATGAATCATAATCGGGTTGAAAGATGTCTGGGAACCACTCTACTTGGATGCTCTATATAAGGCGTTTTTAAATTACTTAAACTTTGCATGTTTCTTTCCGAGAATTAATCTTATACGCTACCATTTCTCTTTACTGATCTCTTACCATTACATTACGTTGATGCAATGTTGTGCCACATTTGAGAGGGGATATTTGCAGATCAACAATGTTCAAAAAACGCTTTGTGCAATCGCCAAAGCAAATGCGAAACGGTAGATGGGTGTTCATGTTTTATTTATAATTTATAAAATCGTTTGTCTTCAGCATTTCTCTCTTCATTTTTGTCATTTGGCAGACCGTACACAATTTTGCACAATATTATATTTGATTTGTTTTCACGTCTTTGCGGATTTGTATCTGTATCGATATCATTTTACGAAGCGTTGGCTTTTTGGTTTATCACACTGTGCTGGGGACCGTCGAACGAAATTTAAATATCTTTGTTTATAACTCGTTTAGAATTGAAAATTGCCTAAAACAAACCGAGCATCAATCGCTCAATGTCTCCCACTCCACGTCTCCGCATTATGGCAAGTTGTCCGACCTTGACAAGGTCGCGTTCCTCTCGGTGGCCCCGCCACCCGAGCCACTCACGAGCGGTTGGTCCGCACCACCGAAGAGTAGCCGTAGAGCACCTCCACTCCGTCCGAGTTGAAGATCCGCTCTACCCGCGGAGCACGCGTCTGAATGGGACGCTCTGTAGTGGTTGTGGTGGTTGTGGTTGTTGTGGTGGTTGTGGTGGCTGGAGTGGTGCTAGTGGTGCTAGTGGTACTAGTAGTACTTGTGGTACTTGGATAACCAGTGGTACTCGTTGTGGTTGGAGCACTGGTGGTTGTCTCCTCCGGAGCACTCGTGGTCGTCTCTGGTTGAACATTGAGCAGCATATCCACCTTGGTGGTCAGCAGAACAGCCTCAGTGGTTGTGGTTGTTGCCGTGGTGGTGCTTGGAGTTGGAGAAGTGGTTTCCACAGCCTCTGTGCTGGTTTCGGGGGCTGCTGTAGATGAAACCAGCGAGACCAGCGGCACTTCTGCGGGAAAAGACTTATATAGTTAATTTATCTTTGGCAAGGTAATAAAATAGCTCATGAAAGAGATAGTTTCCATTAATCTTCCGCCTACAATGAGGTATTCAAATTAAACACACCTGTGGTTTCCTCCATCGCAGACTCTGTGGTGGTTACTCCTTCACTTGTCTTTGGCAACTCAGTGGTAAGTTCAGGCTGCTGTGCTGTGACTTTAGGAGCTGCATTTTTGAAAAGCTGGTAGATCGGCACCACGGTGGTTTCCATAGGTTCCTCCTCCTGATCTGCCTCACTTCTGGACTTCGTATTCTCCTCCGCCAAAGCGGCTTCGGTGGTCACAACCATGGACAGATCCCTGGGCTCCTGGGGTGGTGGTGTATTCGTGGTGGTCTCCATACGGTTCTCGGCCATGTCCAGATCGACCTCTTCCATTTTTGCTGGCACTCGTTCGAAGTAGTTCCGCATGGTCACAACCGCCTCATATTCGGTGGTTTCTTCGGTCTCGGAAAAACGGCTGGTTGATCCCTCCAGTGGCATTACAGTGGTGATAGTTTCTGGACTACTGGTAGTTGCTACAAAACTCGGTGGCAGTGTGGTTGCGCCAAACTTAAAGCTGCGCTTGGTAGTGCTGGTTGTATTCATGGGATTTGGTGGCTCCGTGGTGACTGGGGTATCAGTATCGGATTCCGATACCGACTTAAGCTCCAGCTTTTCGGGATTCTTGAGCTGCTCCTCTTGGGCCCGCTCCAGCGCAAGCTGCTGCAACACCGAGTCCGGAAGTGGCTCCTCAGTCAAGGCCATGGGACTGGCCTCGGTGAAGCTTTCGCCCTCGGGACTGGTGGTCAGTATCACATCCGCATCGACGTCCACCGTGATGGTTCCCTCCTCCACGGACATGTAGGTGGACTGCTCCGCCATCTCCTCGGTGGTTTCATCATCCGGCGAAATGGTGGTTCTCTGTGGAGCGGCTCTCGCATTTATCGCCACTGCGATCAGCAGCAGAATGGCAAAGGTTCGCAACATTTTCGGCAGACTTTGTTTATTTTTTATTGGTATTCGCGGAATGCGAGGCGGTTCAGTGGCTCGGTGGCAATGAATCAATCGAGTGTGGTTTCAACTCGCCGAAAGCTACGTTCACTTTGGCTCAGAAAAACTTGCTCCTGTCTTCAAAAGCTTTCTGGGTGCCTCGCGCTCTCTCTCTTTTTCTGCAGAGGAAAAAAGTATTATGCTTTAACGATCATATAAAAATCGGGGTCTTTAAAGTATTAAGCGGTGGTTATAATTCAATATTGATGATCTTCAGATTATTGAATTTTTTATTGGTTTTAGCTAAACATATTAATAGTCGATTTCCTCATTTTTCTAGACACAGTTTGAAAAGCTTTAGTTTTGTGTTTTATTAGTTAGTTGACTTGTTTAATTTTAAATATTGTTATTAATAGATACAGTTTAGAGTTAAGTTTTTTAGCTTTTACCATATTTTATTTTATTATCGAATGATTATGTTGGCTTTGGGAAAATTAAATTAAACAGCTTTTTCCTACGGTCGTTTTCATAATATTTCGTAATAAAGTTGTTGTTTTACTTTGAGTTCAAAAGAGGTTGATCATTAATTTCTTAAAGCTTTGAATTATAATACTAGTAAAGAGCGATTATTTTTATAGTTCCTTTGTGTTTTCACAATTGTTTTAATTAAATTTCTTGAAACTCGCAAGTTTTTATTCCAAATAAATAAAAATAAATAATTCACTCAATTCACTTTATTAATATTAAAAGGTTTTTTCATTTTTTAAATGATTTCCAAATTTTCACTGAAATAACGCATTCAATTCACCATATCATTTAAAACCTTTTCTTCTTTCTTAAGTGCCACTTTGAAAACTGACTTTTTCGAGTTGAAAGTGATCGCTTTTTTGCTGTGTAGGTCTACCTCAGACTATTTCTCTGGCTTTTAACTGGTTCACTCGGGGCTGCTGGCTTCCGCTCCACGTTGTTGTGACTAGTTTTGTTTGCGGCGAGGAACTAAACCGTTTGCAGCTCCGGCTCGGGCTTTTAAGGCAAGGCGTTTGAAAACTGTTCCCGGCCAGGGCTTTGGGCTCAGACTCGGGCTCGGACTCGGGCTCGGGCTTGGGCTTGGGCTTATGTTTCGATTTCTGGTGGCTCAGCTGCGGAGCCAACTGCTCCTCAGGTTCGGCCTTTTTGATGGACTGGAAGTACAGGTGGCCGGCGAGGTGTGCGATGAGACAAAACGACGCGCACTTGGCCCAAAAACATCTTTCGATGGCACTTCCCCCTCTCCAGTTCAATTTCACTTTCAACGCACTCACTCACCTGTGCTCACCTTTTGATATTGATTTTGCTTTTCGACGCTGCGGCTTTTCAGTTTGGCCCGGAGTGGCAAACCGGCTCTGTGGTATGGCAATTAGTTGGTTACAACTCGACGGCCTCTCATAATTCGCGGTTATTCAACACTCTGCTCCGATACGCTCGCATTTCTGGCAATTGATATTAAACTAATTCGATCAGAACCAATGGGGCTCTTTGAGACCTGCCCATTGTCTTGGCCTGAAAGAGTCTCTGATTGCCGGTTGAATGATCGCGGTAATTGAGTAGAAACGAGACAGCTTTGAGCTAAGGAATGTTTAAAGTAAGCCAATGTATTCCTAAAACACAAACATTGCTTCTGTTTTTCTGAGATCGGAATTTCCCAGTGAAACTGCTTTTTATTGAATCCAAACAAACTATTTTTAGAAAACAAGGTGTACATTATTTATTTAAAGATTAAGGCATTTATTGACTTTACTGTTGTGTTAATTACTTTTTAGTTAAACAAGTAAATCATTAAGCTTTGCCAAACTTGAACACGAGATTATGAGAGCAAACGCTTAAGTTTCATTTTCATAAGCGGTTTTACTAAGCACAGTTCCAGTTTAATAATTTTATGCCAAGAGCAAACTTAATACCCTGATCTATTTCCGGTGCGTTAAAAAAATTATAGGACAAATTAAACTTGCTAAAAATAACAAAGCAAAATTATGATTATTAAAAATTTGATGAATCGGACAAACTACATATCTCAATATATTTAAATAATATTATAATAATGTTTTTTCTCAACAAGTTCTATTTGCCACTCGTTTTAACTTTAATCTATTTTCATGCAAATACCGTATGTGAGTGTTTGACATTTTCCATATAAGCAAACGTAAGGAATGTCTGTGGATTTTGTCAAGTAGGTTCCGCTGATTGGCATTGTTATTCACTTGAGAGTGAGTCAGCTTTTAGCGGAATTCCATAGCAGCCATTATATTCAATGTTGTTATTTTCTAGCCAATTTCATTTGAAATTTTAATGTACTTCCTCACATTCCACTTATCTTTCCGGTGGTCATTGCCATTAAACGCATAAATTGCCCCAACGCCTTTGACCTCGCAAATTGATTCCCTGAAAACAAATTGCGTAAGGCATCTCAAAAGAGGAACTTTCATAATTAGTTCTTATCGAACCAGAAAAGCGACCGCAAAACTCTCGTTTGCGGCAAACTTGGACAACAACATAAATATGGTTGACCATAAGGACAAGTTTTATGTCAACTCGACAGAAAATGTCTTCTGGACGTGGCCAAGAATCTTAACATCTTGCCACCACCAACGGCGATAAAGGCACTTACAACTACAACTGTCAACTACGAAGGGCAATAACAATAAACTACGCACTATCGAACTACAGTGAGGTCTCCCTTAGTTACATTGTTTTTTGCAAAGGTAAACAACATAATCAAACTTCAATAGGATTTTAAAATCACTTATAAAAGTGTCTAAAAGTCGGTATGAATCAATCGGATTTCTGGACTGAAAATATATATAGTGGCATACTCTCAAAAACTTTTATAAAATTTTCCAAACTGTATGTTTCGTTTATTTAAAAATGTTTGATTATGCTCAGTAAAAGTAAATGGTTAACCTAATATATATTTATAAAATTTGTTATATAACACTATTATCTTAAACGTTGTTGGCTTGGCGTTTTTGAAGCTTGACTGTACATTCTATTTGGTGTTTCTGCATAGTTCAGCGAAAGTGTTCAGTTGGGAAATTCGTTAATGCCGCTTACTTTTGTTTTGGGGGGAATGGCCAGCCCAATATGATTTATGTAACGATTGGCTACGGAACTTGCGACTTTAAGTCTTGCCTGTCACTGCCCAGCACCTTTAGTCAACTTCAATAACATCATTAGGGCCAAAAGGAAGAAGGCTCCTGGCACTCACTTAAATTGAGCTCCTGCCGTCAAAATACCGGACACAAAGGCCACTTGGCAGGCGGCCAACGTAAATATGACTTATAAAATGCTCTCGAAAAAAGACTTTTTGGCAAGCAAATTACTTTGCTAAACTGATGATGGAGCTGACTGCCTGCTTCTCAGTACTCTGATGAAATATTTATGCAAAGTGTACCAAGTTGGAGGGAAGGTGATGAATTGAGAATTCAATTTTCCTCGGCGGCTACTTCGAGTGTAAACAAAGTATTAATCATACGCCCTGTGGGCAGAGCCAGCCCAACGAAGAAGAAGTCATTAGCAGGCAGCCGGGAAATGACTTGAAATCATTATTATTAAAGTGTACCGGCCGACTAAAATCAAAGTTGGGAGCGCTTTCAATTTGGCCATAGTGAAATGTAATTTAAATACCAAGTGAAATAAGCTTTCAGATCCGCTCCAGTTTTAATGCTTCGGAAAATCATTAGGAAAACATTTCGCATGCAAATTCGGCTCCGTACAAATGTAATTTTCCTCATCGACTTGCCCGGACTTTGAAGTGTCGCCAATGGCAATTTGTCCGGAGGGCGTGGCACTTTATTGCTTAACGATTACGCCCGCCTCATTGGCTCCTGACGCTAATGTTTATTTCTAAATTACTTCAAATGGAAATGCAAATTCCCCCTGATTCCGGAGCAAAATCAATCAATTCGGGGTGGAGCAGCCAGTATGTGCTTGGAAAATGGCTACATTGTTTTTACCTCATTACTTTGTAATCAATAAGCTCTCATAAAACTCATTCTCCGGCACAAAAGTCACTTGTGGGGCACGGATTCCCTTCGAGTGGCTCTTTATTTCAAGGAACTTGAAACTCTGCAACTCTGTTTATATTTTTAAATTCCATTCCTGGTTAGTATTTATTTCGCCATTGTTCACAAAACCCAACAACAGAAACGGGCAATTTGAAGCAAGCATTGTAATTGTATTACAGAAAATTATTATTGTTTAAATGCGAAATATAATGCGAATAAAAAGCCTGTGCGCCGTCTTTTGTCTTTTCTGTAAATTCAATTATCGAACCAAAACGAAATAAAAATCGGAGATTGCCGATACTCACATACATTCGCATGTATTTACTTATTAATCCTTAATTAAAAAGCTTCACTTAATTGATGGTTATTGTGTTGACAGAGAAATATAAATTTAAGCTTTCCATTGCAAAGTTTCTTTTCCTGCCGTTGAAAGCCGTAATAAATTTTGGCTTTTTAATAACTTCGGCTAAATACATATAACACATTTACTGGCCTGCTATAACTAATATTACCTTTGGGGGCTTTGGAACCTTTATTCCAAAGTGTTTGTTTGTTTGTTTTTAGTGCAATGTTTGGTAAAATTGTCAGTAGTTTTGCAAATATTCAAATAATATTTTGGTCGGCAAGCAAGTTTGTGATGCCAAAAACTAACTTTAAATAATATAATTGATTTAAACTAACAACTAAAGTGGTAACAACTAAACTTAAATAACAATCCTTTAATGTTAGTAATTACATTTGAACAAGACTGTTTTATATTAAAGGGAAAGGGGATTTAACCAAAGAAGCCAAAGTTCATCCCGAATACTAGTTGATTTAATAAATTATGATGTGCGGTGGGCTGTGGTTGTTTTATGTGCTCGAGTGTGTGCATCTACACTGCTAATGACAGCCCCTGAAGGAGCCCTACAATATCATTATAAGCCAAAACTAAATCAGCAGCAACCGAGGCTAAAGCCAACTCAGTAAGGCTTAGAGGGGAGAAAGAGAGAGGGGGCCAGAGCGAGATGGATAGACAAAAGCTAGTTGCACAGGCAAGAGCCACTAATTGACTTTAATTATTTTGTTGTACTTAATGTCTTGTTTACACGAGGAAAAGAAACAGAGAGCTGCAGAGAAAGGCGGTGGGGTGCCGGGAAATGTGGGCGGGACACTAACAAATCACTTGTTCATACTACAAGTATAAAGGCAAATGAAAAGCAAAAGCACAGAGGAACCTGGAGCAGTGGCAAAAAATGACAGCTGATGGATAGAAAATAGCTAGATAGTTAGATGAAATGAGCTGCACAGAAAGAAGAATCATTAAAAAATATGATTATTGAAAATTATAATTAAAAGGATTAAAAAATATATTTACACTTTGCGCCAAAATATCACTTCCAATTTCTGCTTTAAAATTGATAAGTTATAATTTTATAAAAATTAAAATTTAATACAATTATGTTATTTGAGCTATAAAAAAAAATATTTTGCGGTCTTATTTCATTTCTTCTTTTTGGGGTGTTATTTGATTATGAAATATGCCTGCAATTTTTAACGACAAAATTGTTCCTAAAATATGAAATAAAACTGCAAATTCGTATCAAAATCAATGTTATTGTGTCCTATACAAATTGTCTGATTTCGTTTATTTTTTGGGGACCTACTGTTTTGGGGACTTTTTTGAGAGTGCCTTAAATTCATTTTCACATGCAAACATAATTTTTTCCGTGTAGAAAGCAGTGGAAAAGTCTGTCAAAGTTAGTTAAAAGCGATGTGTAAACATGTGGGCTTAGCTTAGCGGGAAAAGAGCACCTCCATCTGCCTGTCTCTTTCTCTGCTCGGTTTGTCTCTTTCTACTAGCGCATCCTCCTGCTGAACTTTAATTAAAGTTGAATTTGTTTCAGTTGTGTGCTTGCAACTGCGGTTGCATGTTTGTTTCGCCTGCTGCTAGTTTATTTTTCCTTTGGTATCATCAACAAGGTT